CGACAGCAGCCCCCTCAGCCCTGCTCGCCCGACGCCTCTCCCCAGATCCGAGCCCCACGTCGACAGAATCGCCAACCCGAGCACGCCGTCGCCTTCCCCACTGCCTCCCTTCAGATCCGTCAGACAACACCCGCATCGGCGCCGTCGCATCGTCGACAGGCCCCATTGGCCTCGCAGGCAAGATCCCGATCCTTGTTTAGTTTCGTTCCAGTTCTTATATTTGTTGCAGATTATTTATGTGCAAGATCCCGCTCTCCTGTTTCGTAGTTTGATTATTTACATTTTTTTTATGAATTATTTGCATAGTTTAATTGTGACGTATTTATCTGCGTGGGTTGTTTAGTGAATAATATTGATTTACATAATGGATATGTGATAAATAGAATTTTTAGAATAATTATAATGAATTAAAGGAATTTAGTTCAGCAAAAGAATCATTTTTAGATAATTATAATATTTTAAAAGAATTTATTTTGGAAAATGAATTAGTTTAGATTAATTGTTAAGAGAAATAATTTAAAATGAATTAATTTAGAAAAAGATTATTTTCTGAATTATGTAAATACTGTTTATGATTTATAATTCTTATTTTGATCATTTGATATGCTATGATATTATTGCACATGATTAGTTTTCATGTTGTGATTGAGAATCATTAGGAGTTTATGACTATAGTGACCTGTATGACACAGTTAGGATCTAGAACACCGTGTGTAGTTGACCTGGAATTACGAGAATTGGGATGAGAAGTCTTGGTCCATGTGAGCGGTTTTGATTGTTGTTGTATATTCCGGGCTCGCGCTGGTGAAGTTTGTGTAGTCACCGGGGTGGGTCCGAGGAGTTGTGATATTGTGATTGTAGTTATTTTCCAGGCTCGCGCCAGTGTCTTGTTTCGGCCTGGGGTGGGTCTGAGGTGTGCGGTGTTATCGAGATTATTATTTGTTTTTCAGGCTCGCGCCAGTGTCTTGTTTCGGCCTGGGGTGGGTCTGAGGTGAGGTGATATCGAGATTATTATTTGTTTTCCAGGCTCGCGCCAGCGTCTTGTTTCGGCCTGGGGTGGGTCTGAGGAGCAGGCCTGATCGATTTTGGATGCTTTATGTTATCATGATTTAGTAGTGTTTTCATGTTGATTTGTGGATTTCAGTTGTACGTTCTTTTGTTGTTTCTGTTATCATATCGTTTTTCGCATTGGATTTCCGTTCGTTCTATTTTCTTTGTGGGGTCGGGTCTTGTCGTGCGCCATGCACCTGACATACACCTGGTTTCTCTGGTGTACGTCAGACTTAGATGAAGAACAGGTTCAGCTGGGAGATCATTAGGAGCCAGAGGATTCTCAGCAGGAGTGCCCTGCAGACGGAGCAGAAGAAGCTGAAGTTTAGTTATTGGTCCTCAGTTTTCTTTTGTACTACATTCCATTTCTATTTGATCAGTGTATTTTGTATCTCTTTAGTATTCTTTTGTTCAGATTTGTATAAGGGCATGTTTGACCCGTATTTTATGTCTGGGATGATTTACCATTGATGATATGTCTATTTTTATTCTGGGTTGTCTTTATATTCTTGCTATGTGTGATCGGGGACCTGTGACTTTGCATTATACTTATTTCTAGACGCTTAGCGTATTGGATTGAGAAGAAAAGAAAAGAGAAAAATAATGATATTGTATATTTCTTCTCAATCTAATACGTCGTGGGCTTGTTCACGTTCCGATTCCCGGGTATTTTGGGAAGCGGGGCGTGACAGATACACTCGGATATTTGTGGTCCCCTAAGTGTCAAAACTCATAGTAATAAAGAATATTTTATTACTTTTATAGATGATTATTCCAAGTTTGCACACGTCTATCTTATATCCAGAAAATTAGAAGCTTTTGATTGCTTTAAGAGATATAAGACAGAAGTTGAAAACCAACTTGGATTGAAAATCAAAATTTCGGGAACTGATAGAGGTAGAGAATATAATTCTAAAGAATTTGAAAGTTATTATATTCAGCATGGAATTAAAAGGCATACAACAATGCTGTATACGTCATAACAGAATGGTGTT